CACTATGAAGAGTAATCTTGGATATTTTGTTTTAAGTGACATAGATTTAATCATTTTTGAGATTTTCCCATATTCACTTTATAAATATAAACATTATACACACATAACTTTTTGAAAGCAGGGTAGGATTTATGAAAAAGATCACAAAATGAGGGAATAAATGTATATTATTAGATAAGGGCTATACTTCAGTTAAACAACATTGACAAATATCAATATATCAAATAATATGGCATATACACATTTTTTACTATTTAAATAATAACATACACATAAGAAAAAAGGATACATCTTTTCTGTGTCTGAAGCATTTCACCTAGTATAATGATCTCCAATTCCATTCCTTTTGTTGTAAATGTCAGGATTTTCTTGCTTTTATGGTTGCATAATAATCCATTGTGAATACATACAAAATTTTCTTTCTTTTTTTAAGTTTTAATTTTTTATATAGTAAATATAAATTTCCAAAGTACAGCTTATGGATTACAATGGCTTTCCCCCCCCCAATAATTTCCCTCCCACTCGCACCCCTCCCATCACCCACACCCTCTCCCATTCCATTCACATCAAGATTCATTTTCAATTATCTTTATATACAGAAGATCAATTCAGCATATATTCAGTAAAGATTTCATCAGTTTGAATCCACATAGAAACACAAAGTGTAAAATACTGTTTCATTACTAGTTATAGCATTACTTCACATTGGACATCACATTAAGGACAGATCCCACATGAAAAGTAAGCACACAGTGACTCCTGTTGTTGACTTAACAATTTGACACTCTTGTGTATGGCATCAGTAATCTCGCTAGGCTCTAGTCAGGAGCTGCCAAGGCTATTGAAGCCTTTTGAGTTCGCCGACTTCGATCTTATTCTGACAGGGTCTTAGTCAAAGTGGAAGTTCTCTCCTCCCTTCAGAGAAAGGTACCTCCTTCTTTGATGGCCCCGTTCTTGCCACTGGGATCTCACTCGCAGAGATCTTTCATTCAGGTCTTCTTCTTCTTTTTTTTTTTTTTTTCCAGAGTGTCTTGGCTTTCCATGCCTAAAATACTCTCATGGGATCTTCAGCCATATCCGAATGCCTTAAGGGCTGATTCTGAGGCCAGAGTGCTGTTTAGAACATCTGCCATTCTATGAGTGTGCTGTGTATCCCGCTTCCCATGATGGATTGTTCTTTTTGATTCTATCAGTTAGTATTAGCAGACACTAGTCTTGTTTGTGTGATCCCTTTGACTCTTAGACCTATCAGTGTGATCAATTGTGAACTGAAATTGATCACTTGGGCTAGTGAGATAGCATTGGTCATGCCACCTTGATGGGATTGCATTGGAATCCCATGGCACGTTTCTAACTCCACCATTTGGGGCAAGTCCAATTGAGCATGTCCCAAATTGTACATCTCCTCCCTCTCTAATTCCCACTCTTACATTTAACAGGGATCACTTTTCAGTTAAAATTTAAACACCTAAGGATAATTGTGTGTTAATTACAGAGTTCAACCAATAGTACTAGAAAAAAATACTAAAATGGATATAGTATTACATTGTAAATCAACAGTCAGGACAAGGGCTATTCAAGTCACTGTTTATCATAGTGTCAATTTCACTTCAACAGATTTCCCCTATGGTGCTCAGTTAGTTGTCGCCAATCAGGGAGAACATATGATATTTGTCCATTTGGGATTGGCTTGATTCACTCAGCATGATGTTTTCCAAATTCCTCCATCTTGTTACAAATGACCAGATATCATTTTTTTTGACTGCTGTATAGTATTCTGTAGAGTACATGTCCCATAATTTCTTTATCCAGTCTACTGTTGATGGGCATTTGGGTTGGTTCCAGGTCTTAGCTATTGTGAATTGAGCTGCAATAAACATTAGGGTGCAGACCGCTTTTTTGTTTGCCAATTTAATTTCCTTTGGGTAAATTCCAAGGAGTGGGATGGCTGGGTCGAATGGTAGGGTTATCTTCAGGTTTCTGAGGGATCTCCAGATTGACTTCCATAGTGGCTTAACCAGTTTGCATTCCCACCAACAGTGGGTTAGTGTCCCTTTCCCCCCACATCCTCTACAGCATCCACTGTTGGTAGATTTCTGAATGTGAGCCATTCTAACCGGGTGAGGTGAATCCTCATTGTGGTTTTGATTTGCATTTCCTGATTGCTAGTGATCTTGAACATTTTTCATGTGTCTGTTGGCCATTTGGATTTCCTCTTTTGAAAAATGTCTATTGAGGACCTTGGCCCATCTCTTAAGTGGGTTGTTTGTTTTGATGTTGTGGAGTTTCTTGATTTCTTTGTAGATTCTGGTCATTAGCCCTTTATCTGTTGCATAGTTTGCAAATATTTTTCCCATCCTTTCGGTTGCCTCTTCACTTTCCTGACTGTTTCTTTTGAAGTACAGAAACTTCTCAATTTGATGCAATCCCAAATGTTAATTTTTGCTCCGACTGCCTGTGCTTCAGGGGTCTTTTCCAAGAAGTTTTTGCCGGTACCTATATCTTGCAGGGTTTCTCCAATGTTCTCTAATAATTTGATGGTGTCGGGTCATAGATTTAAGTCTTTAATCCACGTTGAGTGAATTTTTGTGTAAGGTGCAATGTAGGGGTCTTGCTTCATGCTTCTGCACGTGGAAATCCAATTTTCCCAGCACCATTACTCCAGGGATTGGTTTTGGATCCTTGATCAAATATGAGTTGGCTGTAGATGTTTGGATTGATTTCTGGTGTTTCTATTCTGTTCCATTGGTCTATCCATCTGTTTCTATACCAGTACCATGCTGTTTTGATAACAACTGCGCTGTAGTATATCCTGAAATCTGGTATTGTGATGCCTCTGGCTTTGTTTTTGTTGTACAAGTTTGCTTTAACTATTCAAGGTCTCCTGTGTCTCCATATGAATTTCAGCATCATTTTTTCCAGATCTGAGAAGAATGTCTTCAGTAATTTGATTTGTATTGCATTGAATCTATAAATCGCTTTTGGGAATCTTGGATATGTTAGCATTTTGTTTCTCCTTTTTGTGGTGAGTTTATGGAGGTTTTATTAGCCATGATTTTTTTTATTCATCAACCAGTGCGCAGCCTTTTAGGACAATGGACAAACTGACAGCCCTTTCCACTTGCTGGAACTCATGATGAAGACATGCACCTCACCTAGTGCTCTTAGGGAGGAGTATAGTAAATACCTCAAAACATACTCCTTTGTTTTAAAAAAAAAACTTTATTTTTTTGAGAGCTAGAGTTAGAGAGCGAGAGAGTTTGTGTTTTCTTCTAGTAGTCTCATAGTTTTGAATATCACATTGAAGTCAATCTGCTTAAGAATTATCTATTTGAAAAGCAATGTGTGTGTGTATGTTTGTGTGTGTGTGTGAGAGAGAGAGAGAGACAGAGAGAGAGAGAGAGAGAGAGAGATTGCCCATCAGCTGGTTCACTCCCCAAATGTTCACAATATTCCATCTGGTTCTCCCATGTCAGTGGAAAGGGCCCAAACACTTGCACTGTAATGCACTGGTTTCCCAAGTACATTAGTAGAGAGTTGAATTGGAAGCAAAGCAGCTGGGATTTGAACTGGCACTCCAACATGGGATACTGGCATCCCAAACAGCAACTTAATCTGCTACACCACAATGTTGGCCTTGTAATCTATTGTTTTTAAGCTGATATTTGTAACTGGTGAGACATAAATTACAATTTTTTTAATTTGGATAATCAGTTTTCCCAGCATGATTTATTAAAAAAATTGTCATTTTATTAGCTCCTTTACCAAAATTCAGTTGTCTGTAAATGCATGAAGTTAACTCTATTCTGTTCAATTATTGTATTTGCCTGTTCTATGCAAATATTATGCTGCTTTAATTATTATGCTTTTGTGGTACAGCATATTTTGAAGTCAGGTAGTATGATATCTCCAGCTTTGTTATTTTTCCTCATGATTGCTTTGGCTATTCAAGTTCTTTTGTGGTTCCACACAAATCACACAACTGCTTTTTTTTAAATTCTGAAAAGGATAACATTGGCATTTTGATGGGGATTGTAATCTGTAGATACATCTATAGATTGGTTTCAATCATGTATTTTAATAATAATTCTTCCACTCCATGAACACAGGATATATTTCCATTTATTTATACACTTTGATTTATTTCATTAATGTTTTGTGGCTTTCATTGTAGAGATATTTCATTTATCCATATCCCATTGTGTTCCATCCATATTCCATAACAGAAAATAAGCTCCATGAGGACAGAAGGGATGCCTGATTTATATTTATCACCATCTTATTTATGTACTAAGTATAATGAATATTTCAATTAATGAATAAATATATTTTACTAACTGGGAAATTGATATCCAGAGATGGGAAGTAGACTGCTCAGATTCACACAGTTATTTAAGTTTTGGAGCCAGGATTTCAATATTACTTCACTGGTCCCCATTCTGACGAGCTTTCCATTGTATGGAATTTGCACCTTTGGCCAGATGCTAAAGACCTAAATTTATATATTTTATTCCTTTTTCCATAGTATAGTTGGTATATGAATTATGCCCTTATCCTTTAACTCTCCAGCTAGAGGAGTTGAGCATACGTATGTCAGCAACACTGTTAACCCAGAGCTATATGGGCTGTATTTATGAGCTGTATGAGCCCATGAAGGCTCTTCTCTTGTACCCTTACCCCAAATGCTTCCTCCAACCTCCTATATACACGCCATAGATTCCAGAATCCATGTTGACCAACTGACTTCAGAGTAGTCCTCTTTTAAAACAATACCCTGGCTATTTTCAAGGTCCTGGGACCCAGAAAGAGTTGACTTAAGATGTTATTCTTTTTTGAATGAAGCAACACAGAGAAACAAGCTTGGTTTTTATAATAAGCAGAGTTTTTTTCAATTTACCCTGAACCCTACATTTTCCTGGAATGTAATACCGGTACCTAAAAAATAACCCTACTCTATAAAGCTTGTGAGGTCATTTCTTACACGTAACTCAACAACTTACCTTGGTCTTTTCTCCACGTGTCAGTACAGTTTCCTCAATGGAAAGGATCTTGTTGCCAACATGGAGGTCACTTCTCACAGTCTCGTTGGAAAGCAGCATACGTTTTCCACGTTCCATACACCTGGAAAAGAAAGAAGCTACATTTATAGGCTTGTTACTATAAAGGTAAAGGGCATATCAAGCAGAGCATATTTTAACCAGAGAGTTCTGGACAAGAAGTCTTGCATTCTACTAGGGTGACTTGAATTTCATCTAGCTTAGAGGCAAAGAGATTAATGGGTTGGTGATCTGGTTTGAATGTGTTCCCCAAAACTCATGTGTTGGAAACTTAATCCCAAATGCAACAATGTTTAGAGGTCAGACCTTTAAAGTAATTAGGCCATGTCTTCATGAATGGATTAATGCCATTATCATGGGAATCGGTTCCTCATAAAAGTGGGTTTGGCTCTTTTTTATTCTTGTACTCTCTTGCCTATTCACCTTCAGCCATGGGATGACACAGCACTAAGGCCCTAGCCAAATGTCATTACCTTGCTTTTGGCCTTTCCATTCTCCAGAAACATGAGCTAAACTTTTATTGCTTATAAATTATTTTGTCTCACATGTTTTTTATAGCAAACAATGGACTGAGGCATTTAGAAAGGTACATCTTTTAGAAGTTAACGTGGTCAGGGAAGACCTTTGCAAGAAGGTACCACATGAGCAGAGTCTTGAAAGAAATAAAACATAAGCTATAAATATTTCTGGGGAAGAGAATTTTAAGTGGAGGAAAGAGTAATTACAAAATCCTGAGCTGGGAATATGCCTGATTTGTTGGATGAACAAAGAGGCCTGTGTAGCTAGAAGGAAACTAGGCACAAAATTTGACTATTATTCATATTTAGACTATTCCCTTGTTTCAGACTAATGTAGAATTTAAAACCCTGTGAGATTCTCCTTTATTGTTATCTATTACCCAATTAACTTTCCCATTCTGAACCTGCAGCAACATGGAAAGTATCACGAGAGTTCTAAGATATTGTTGACCAGATAAGATCTATAGAAAGGCAGATTACTGGAGGGAATGATAACAGTACTAACTGGACTTTTACTCAGTAGATCTGGAATTCATATCCAAACACTGTTACCTTGCATGCCCTGTGACAACCTACTTAGCCTTCTAAGCCTCAGTTTCCTCATCTGTAAAATGGAGCTAATATTAGCTACCACACGAACTTGTTATGGTAATTAAATACATTTTGATTTTTTAAAATTAATGTGTTCGATAGTTACTGGCATTATTCCTAGAATATAACAGGTTCTCAATAACTGTTTACTTAATGAAAACATTTTAGGAGAGGCTTTCAGAAAACTCATTTTCTTTAATCTTTTTAAATATTTATTTCATTTATTTGAAAGGCAGAGTTACAAAAAGAGAGGGACAGATAGCAGGAGAAATATTTCATATGCTGGGTCACTCTCCAAATGGCTGCAATGGCCAGGTCTGAGCCAGGCCCCAGCCAGGAGCCAGGAACTCCATCCAGGTTTCAAACCACATGGGTGGCCGGGATCCAAGCGCTTGGGTCATCTTCTGCTCCTTTCCCAGGCCCATTAGCAGAGAGCTGGATATGAAGTGGGGCAGCTGGGACTCAAACCAGTGTCCATATGGGATACTGGTGTTTCAGGAGGCAGCTTAACTTGATGCATCACAATGCCGGCCTCTGGCAAAGGTATTTCCTAGGAAAACTGTTCACTCAATTCTCCTTTTCCCTCCAGATACAAAATGCAACTGTCTTCATTGCAACTCAGTTCAGTGAGCCCAATACATGTGAATCAGAAATTACAGAACATTGGGGCTGGCCTTGTGGCTCACTGGGTTAAACTACCTATAATGTTGGCATCCCGCATCCCATAGCCCATAGCCCATAGCCCATATCCAATATCAGACAGCCAGTTCAATTTCTGGCTGCTCTACTTCCAATCCAGCTCCTTCTAATGTGCCTGAGAAAACAGGAGATGATGGCCCAAATACTTGGGGCCCTGTCACCCATGTGGGAGACCCAGATGGAATTCTTGGCTCCTAGCTTCAAGCAGGCCCAGTCCCAGCTTTTACAGCCATTTGGAGAGTGAGCCAGTGTAAAAGATCTCTTTCTCTCCTCTTTCAAATAAATTAGAGAATGTCAGGAGGAGGATGGAAACTGAGAGTTAAAAGTGAGTAAATAAGTAGGACCATTGTTATCATCCCCCAAGACCCCTTTCCTAGTGCCTAAGAGGGGGTAAAGATGATTCCAAGAGCCCAGCGGTAAGTAGGGGAAAATCAGGTGGATCTGGATTTATGGAAACTGCTTGGTAAGTACTCATGTGACATAACCATTTCTATCGTAATATCTAGAGCTTGGTTCAGTGGTTGTATTCACTACATTTCCCTCTGTACAAAGGTCATGCCAACACTTCCTAGTACCTCCTCCTTCAGAGCTCAACTAACCCTTTGTAATATTCACTCTCTTATGACCACATGATCTGAACTCTACTTTCAGCACAATTATTTAGATTAACTTCTCTGGTCAGATAATACAACATCCCTGAGAAAACTGGAACCCAGTATAACTGTCCTACACATCATTTCAGAATGATTCCAAGGCATAGAATTTCTGGCCTCTCGTAGATCTATAGAGGGGATTTTATGGTAGAAGGTAGGTTAGCACTGATGCCATATTCTCAAATGCTCCCAACTATGAAATTTAGGGAAATTCACTTGACCTTTCTAAATTTCACATTTCCTTTCACTAGCTCTTGTATGTGACACATTCAACCCATTGTTCAAAAGTAATGCAAGCAGCTCCTCAGAAACAGAGCATACTGCTGCAAGTTTCTAAGATGGTCCAGGCTTATAGAAGGGCTCAAATAAGAAGAAATTCAAACATGTTTGCTGTTAGGACACCTGACTGTCATTGTGATTTCTCCTTCAACTCTGTGTTGTGAGAAGTGATTCATTCCCTCTTTGCCTCTAGATCTCTATTTGTTTCTAGAGAGAAGAATCCCTGCCTAATATTCTTCAAGAGGGTCACAGGAAGCTAAAATGAGTATTTTCTCATCTAAACATGCTATTTGCTAGCAGATTTGCCTATCAAGTTTACTATTCAATTTGACATACCATGGAAGCAGTTCTCAAACAGACAAGACAAGCACAATTTCCAGGCCCACTACCAAAATATCTCCATACATGATAGATATTTGGGAACCTTCTCTGTTCTGTTCCTCTCCTACTTAAATATCAGGTCATATCCTAAATCAAATCTTCTGTATATCAAGATAACTGAAAATGAATCTTGATGTGAATGGAATAGGAGAGGGAGCGGGAGATGGGAGGGAAAAGCCACTGTAATCCAAAAGCTATACTTTAGAAATTTATATTTATTAAATAAAAGTTAAAAAATGTCACTAGACCAACAACCACAGCAATTTTTTGTTCCTCTAATTTCAGACAGACTTTGGAAGGAACATATTGGTCAAACACTGAATTGGAAAGTTGGAGTTCTTCCTCTTCTTTTAGTTTCCAGCCCCCATCCTAATACCACTGACACTAGTACCTTTAATGTCAGATAAAAGAGAAAACATGGTAAGATCCTGAGTCTTCCCATCTTTCCTGTATCTTAACAATTCCCAGGGCCCTTTGGCCTGCAAGTCACTTACATCTCATCCATCTGACTGCAGGGTTCCCAGGCCCACAAGAAGAAGGGAGCAGGGACACCACTTGCGGTACAACGAAGGATGTTCTCACTGCCAAGGAATATTGGTTGGATGCTCTTCAAATCTGTCTCCTTCTCATAGATTTTAGGTTTTTCTGGACAAGAAAAGAAAATACAGTGATTAAGATTCCACATCAAGGCTGGTATTTTAACTGGTACTATTATGACAGACATCCCAGTGGTTAAACTACTGAAATACTTCTTTGTCTAATTATAAATAACTGCTGCCTCTCTATCACAACTCTGGTTCTTCCTCAAGGATAGAACCGTCTTTTGTTAACAGTTCAATGGTTCAACAACTTAAAGGTTAATATGACCCAGATTTCTCACATTCTTTGCCTATATTATGGCCTGGCCTAATCAGGGCCCATGCCTTAGTTTTGTGAAATATTTTAAAATATCACCCCAGTCACATTCAGTTGACACCAAAGAATCCTACTGAAGACAAGTAAATTGCAATGCCTCAAGTAGCAGAACCTATGGATTTCAAAGTATTCTTTTGGATTGCAAGCCTAGAAAAAGGCAGGATTAACATTCAATTCACCTCTGCAGCCTGGACACAAATTCACTGATTGCATTACATATTGAACTTAATTATAAGAGCTAACAGTTGTTCTTTTCATTATTTGCAATAACATTTATTCTTTGGATATGAATTTAAGAAAACCAACAACAAAAACAGGAGTCTCTCAGATTTGCTGGATAGCATTTGATGCATGGCTCCCTTCTCAGAGTTCCCTACTTACATTAACTGCTTGCTTCACTTCTGTATATTGATAATAATACTAATAGTATCAATACTAGCATTACTATAGTAGTTAATTGGGCTAAGTGCAAGGAAATTTTTAAATGTTTTATGCAAATTAACTAATTTAATCCTCAGCTTGGGAGGTTGGCACTGTAATTATCCTGATTCACAGATTAAGAAAATGCAACATTAAGTACCTTTCCCAAAGTTACACAGATATGTTGGTCTATTAATTCTGGTAGCCTAACTTCAATGCCTTCACTCTTAACTGACTACAACTATATTTTGTCACAAACATCTCAAACAACATTTATAACAACAACATTAATAATACAATAAACATTTTTATTGTACTTACTAAGCCCCAGGAACCACTTTAAAATTTATTTGTAGTTATTTGAAAGGCAGAGAATAGAGAGTGAGAGAGACACAGAAAGCTCATATCTGCTGGTTCATTCCCCAAATGCCAGCAACAGCTAGGGATAGGCCCAAACTAGTGCCATGTAATTTTCATCCTGTGCTGTCTTCTAGTAATTTTACTCTCAGACCTTATATTTCAGTCTTGAATCTACTTTGAATGCATTTTATATGTCATCAAATATAAGGCTCTAATTTAATTCTTCTGAATGTTGATATCCAGTTTTCCCAGCACCTTTTATTGAAGAGACTGTACTTTTCCCACAGTGTGAAAAAGCACCAAAAGTCACTTTTGTCAAAAATAAGTTGGCCAGAAGCAGAGGTTTGGTGCAGCAGTTAAGTGACTCCTTGAAACGTCCACATCTCATATTGATTGGAATGTCTGGTTCAAGTCCTGGCTACTCTGCTTCCAACCCAGCATCTGGCTAATACTAACATGAGAATGTTTCTTTTGCCGTTTTAATGCAGCGTTTATGTGGATCTTTTATTCACACAGGTGAATCCAGCTTATTCTCAAATTTGGGCGTTTTCATAAAGATGCTCTTTCTTGTCTATGGAGAGTTGCTGGTTGAATTTTCTGTGGGAGGGAGTAAAGCCTGAGACCTCTTACCCACCTCCTCATCTTGCTAACATCACTGCAAACCTGATATCTATGTATACAAATATTTTCATATATCTGGACGTAGGATTTTACTGAATGATGTAAGATGTCTCTTCTACTTTTTTTTTGAGTTAGGCATATACTGTTTTCCAAACTGAGCACATAAATTCACTTTGCAATCAACAGCATACAAGAATTCCCTTCTTTTGATTTGCATTTCCCTGATGATTACTGATGTTGAGCATCATTTCACATAATTGTTGCCTATCTGTATTAGTTCATTATGTGTTAGCACAACAAAATATCTGATGCTGGCTAACTTGATAAAGAAAAGATACTCGTTTATCTCACAGTTTTGGAGGTTCACTGGCATAGTGTCTGCACTGGCTCAGCTCTTGAGAGAGTCTGCTTGGTTGTATCACATTCTAGTAGATGGTAATGGTGGGAGCACATGTACAAAGAAGAGATCAAATCTCCAAATAGGAATTGAAAGAAGGGTCTCACACAATCCCTACCAAAGGTATGAACCCAATTGTTCTAAGGACCTCCATTAGGCCCCACCCATTAAAAAATCCCACATTCACACTGAAGACAAAATCACATTCAAGCCATAACACCATTGTTTGTCTTTTTTGGAAAATTATTCAGTTCACTTGCCAATTTTAAGATCATTATTTGTTTTCCTGCTACTGAGTGATATGATTCCCTTATATGTTTTGAATGTTGACCACTTCTGAGACACAAAATTCCAAATATTTTATTCCAATAAGTAGATTATCTATTCATATTGTTGATTGTTTCCTTTGATGTTCAGAAGATCTTTGCTTGTTAAGATTTATTTATTTAAAAGGCAGGGTCAGAGAGAGAGAATCTTTCATCTGCTGGTTCACTACACAAATGGCCACAATGTCTGAAGCTGAGCTGCTCCAAAGCCAGAAAACAGGAGCTTCTTCCGGGTCTCCCACATGGGTGCAGGGGCCCAAGTACTTAGGCCATCCTACTGTGCATTCCCAGGCATGTTAGCAGGGAGCTGTATCAGAAGTGGATCAGCAGGGACTTGAACTGGTGCCCATATAGGATGCCAGTATTGCAGGTGGTAGCTTTACCCACTATGCCCCAATGCCAGCCCCATCCATTAAAATTTATTTATTTATTTATTTATTTATTTAATTGAAAGAATATTTTTAGTTTGATATAACCCCACATGTCTTCTTGCTTTTGTTGTCTGCATTTTCAGTACCATATACAAGAAATCAACAACCAGGGAAAATGCCAAGGAGATTCCCTCTTAATTTTCTTCTAGAAGTTTTATGATTTTGAGTCTGACAATTAATCTACTTCAAGCTGATTTTTTGTAGGATCTAAGATAAGGGTCCAATTTCATTTACTTGTATGTCTATATCCAGTTATCCCAACACCAAAAATTGAAGATACTGTCCTTTATCCATGATATATTCATGGTATCCTGGGGCCGGCGCTTTTTCGTAGTAGGCTAAGACTCCACCTGCAGTGCCAGCATCCTATATGGATGCTAGTTCGTATCCCAGCTGCTCCTTTTCCAATCCAACTTTCTGCTTATGGCCTGGGAAAGAAATGAAAGATGATCCAAGTTCTTGGGCCCCTGCATCTATGTGGGAGACCTGGAAGAAGCTCCTGGCTCCTGGCTTTGGATTGGCTCAGCTCTGTACATTGTGGCCATTTGGGGAGTGAACCAACAGATGGAAGATATATATATAAAAATAAATAAAGTCATTTTTTAAAAGATACATTCTTAGTATCCTTGTCAAATATAAGTTGACTTCAGATAGTTGGCAAGAGATATGGGGTGGGTTATTGGTGCAATCTGCAGATGGGCCTAGTGCTGGGGTCCTCAGGCAGGTGGGCTTGCTAACAGTGGCCACAAGCTGGCAATTGATATCTGTGTGCTGGTTGTTGAGAGCTTTTCCCCTTTTATTTGTTCTTAGCCACCTCCAACAGAGTCTGTCATGCTGATTTCTTCAGTATCCCATGTTGTGTATTGCAGCAGCAACAGGCCTCTCACGTACTTCAAAATGCTTTGGAAGTCAGATACTTACTTCAGTCCTTCATCCACCCATGGGAGAATTCATTCATAGGCCAAAGAGATCTCCCTTGGCACTGAGCTGTACCAGCTGGAGTAAGGGTTACATAGGATGGAAAAAGTGATTTTTGATTTTTTTTTTTTTTTACTTTTCAGTACATCCTCTTTCATTTCTGATTGATTCCAAAACCATTTTCAGGAACATCAAGGACTTGCAGAAACAAGGGAGGCTTTGCTCCAATGTTCTTTTATAGGCAATGCCTTGTTCACTCTTTAGTTTTGTATATAGCACCCAAGGAGCATTCAAGAGGTGCTTGTTCAATGTATGCAGAATCCTGTACAATCAAACAGCTACAAAATCAGTGCTCAAAGAAACACAGTGATCTTATAGCCCCAAACTAAGCCTGACATTTTGAGAGGTCCAATGGCAGAAGAGACCTAAACATATCAAGGGATAGTACTATTCCCAGTTAGAGACATGGCTATTTATGTTAACTGTTTTTCTCCAGAATGTAGGTATTTTGAGGATAAAGCAAAGCTGCTTTCAGACTTCAAAGCTGGTTGTAGCTGCATCTCTCATACCAGAAAGCAGAGAGATTCATGGAGCAACTACTATATGCCAAGTCCTGTGCTACATGTTTTCATTTGTCATCTATTTTAATCTTCACAACTGCCCTAAGTATTTAGTGTTATCCACATTTTAGACCAGAACGACAAATTTGAAGTGGTCAAGAGACTTGACAAAAGCTGCAGAGCTAGTGGTGGAACAGGATTTGAACTCAGAATTGTCTAAGAGCAAGGAAGGGCCCTGTCCTCCATTAACTGTAGTATCTCTCCCCAACCTCTGCTACTTTATGGACAAAACCTCCCATTCTAGTTATCTTTTTCTCTGGAGTCTTTCTCCAGGTCCTGAGAAACACTCCAGAAAATATATATGAACTTCATCAGAAAGGTTTGCAAAGTGTCCTGAGGTGCCCTAAAACAGACTTACCATGGAGATCAAATATCCCCAGAGCAGTAAAGGAAAGTAATGTTTTTCTAGATTCAGTAAGACACTCTCATGTCCTTCAGGCAAGGCAGGGATTTGAGAACAGGCTTCACAAAGAACTTACAGAGGTCATATTCAGGCTGTCAGTAATTTTGGGACATCCCATTGTGGTGTTCCATGATTAAGAGCAAGCCCTTTGGAACTAGACTGGATAGGTTCAAATTACGACTTTCTCACTTCCTTGCCATGGAGCAAGTAACCTCACCTCTCTGTGCATCAGTC